ATACATGACTGGTTGGAAAGATTGGTTTGTCAACATAAAGCCCTCAATGAACATGGTGAAATTTGAAAATGACAATTCTCTAGCAGCTGAAGGTATTGGTGATGTTATGATTATAAGAAAAGATGACAAGAGGTCAGCAATTTTCAATGTATTGTACATACCAAACATGAAGAGTAATTTGCTCAGCATAGAACAATTTTTATGCAAACCTACAAAGATTAACAAATTCACTAAAATGAAGATTCTAAGTGAATTCTAAGAGAAGGGACAAAATATAACTATCAAGTCAGTAACAACTTTGATCCCTAAGATACATTCATGATTGATATATATTTAAATTAAAAACTTACTAATGTGACCGTCAACTATATGAATTTAAGGGTATTTTACATAGATATATACCAATGATATTTTAAGCAAATTGTATTGTTCAAATCCTTGATATTTTTTTGGAACGTTAAACTATGAATATTGATTAATAAATTAAGTTTAATGAACCTAAATATGATTTTTTAAAACGTTAGATATATTTAAGCACTACTATAGAAAACACCTATCATAAAAGTTAAAAAAGTGATACAACGACGTGCGACCAACCGTTGTGAGGTAAGGTGTAATTGTATGTATGATATTTTTCACCACGGACGTAGGATCGCTGTGATAAACTAGACATCACACTATATATCACAACAGTCAAAGTATACAACTATTGTGATATAATGCGGAAGGTCATGAATTCGAAACCTAGTGACTGTATGGTTTATAATATTTTACGCTCTATCTTTAAAAATGGTTGGTATAAATAAACGTGATTAAATACTTTGTCTTTTTAAATTTTATTTTATTTTTCCATATTTTACAAAGCTGTATTTTTTAGCTATATATTATACATACATTAGCTAAATATTTACAAAATATCAAATTAAACAATAAAAATGTATTTATAACCATAAAAGATGAAGTCATATAGTACCATCCCCTTTTCAACTAACACATTGAGAATAAATGCCCAATGTCTATGGACTTTGTCTACATCTTCGGGAGAGAAAAGTGTCGTGTCGTTAAACGTCTACAAAATCAAGTGAAAAAAATTGAATATCACATGATTTGAATTATAATAGCAAATTAATTTAACATTAATATGTTATTATAAACATTTCATGACATTATATATACCTGATCCCACAAATTAACAATATCGAAAGAGACGATGTTAAACATATTTTTATTATATAGTACCCACTTGTCTCCTTGTCTACAAATTTAAATATTTAGTGAATATATAACCACACATTTCATGAATATGTATAAGTGAATGTCACAATTAATCCACTTACATTGGACTCACAAAATGTGAGATTTTTCCTATAGTTGTTCAACCTATAGTGTCTCTCCACAATCTTGTATATTGAAAATAATTTACAAATATTACACGCTAAGATAATTAAAAAGTCAAAGAAAATATTACTAAAAGTCTCATAAACATAAAGTTACCTAGTAATAATTTGTTGCATCATAGGTTCAAGTAGATTGTGTAACAAACACAGTGTAGTTACCATATTTGTCCGAAGAAATATGGTGATCGATTGAAAATATTCTCTGAATGAACAATACAAGTACATAAAATTAGTATTTGGTAAAATATGAAAACTAACTATAATAGATAAGCCATGATTTTAAAATTACTCACTTATTGACGAATGATGCTAAGTAAAATTCTTTCCTCACGTGCGCTATCCGTGATGTTAGATATTCTTCAATGTTTTTTTGGAGGAATACTTGTAAATTGTAATCTTACTGGATCCAACAATCCATAAGTATACAATTTATTTGATTCTATACAAACACGATCAATATACCTAAATGGTTAAACAAAATACGAAAAAACACGTGAGAAATTAGTTCTATACAAAACAATGAATGTACCATAATGAAATATACTTATGTGCACCAATTGCTAACGATCATATCCTTTATATTTTTAGGAATGATCATGAATTTCTGTAACCCCTGTATCTCTAGATCATGTTCTAGCGCAAGAGTAAACACCTCGTCTTCGTTGCGCATAACGTGACATAATATTTTGGCATATGATCCTTCAGGGGGATTCAATAACCCACTTTGGATTTTGTTATCGATGGGGGCGGATGAACAACTTCCTTTTGTGCTTGCACCACATACCACATTTCTATCAGGCAATTGATCATTAACATCATAATCTTTATTTGTATACTGTGGGACGGTTCCACTGATTCTCTACATCATAAAAAATATAAAAACACAACAAAATTAACACAACATATATCATACATTTTAGATATTGCAATATTCTCATGTAACACCCTCTATTTTGAATTAATTAACTAGACTCATCTATTTATTTATTTAAATGGTTAATTTAGAAAATCATAATATCCTATTAATTAAATAATTAGAATCACATATTTTTAAGTGATTGATTTAGTGAATTATTTCACTTTCTACTTTAACTAATTTATTAATCAATGAGAATCACATATCTTAATCACTTAAAATATTTAATTTAGTGAGAACTGTAATTCTCTATTTTAATTAAATAAGTAAAATCTCATGTTTTATTTATTTATTTAAATTATCCAATCTAGCGTGACTATAATAAATGAATAAATAATTTAGCAATTTAAGGAAAAATAAATAAATCTAAAATTTAAAGAGTGTGTTATTGTTAGTAGCATTTCATAAATTAAATTTGAATTAATATATTAATAGTCTAAAATGCAAGAACATGTGTCTTATTATTCTCTAATTTAAGTTTGAATAAATTAATAATGCATCTGCTATTATTATATGAACTAGTAAGAAACTCGTGCTTCCGTATGAGGTACGGTTTTGGTTGAGATATGATTTTGGACGCATATTTGTTTGTAAATGGTCATAAAAATTTAAAGTTAATTTTATTTTAATAATAATATCTCTGTTCCTTTTTATAAGAGACAACTCACTTTTTAGATTCATTGAATAATTAATGTATTTGGTCAATTTTTAAACTAGATACATTGATTATTCAGTGAACCCCAAAAATAGATTGTCTCTTATAAAAAGGAATGAAGGTAGTAGTAAATTTAAGTTAAAATAATAATAAATGTAAAAGATGAAAGTTAAATAACAATATCAAGAATAATATGATTAAAATTAAAAATTATATATTAAAACCAAGCAATTGAGCTCGAGTGGTAAACAAGCTCATGCTAAAGAACGAAGGTTCATAGAATACCTCTAGGCACGCACTTTTGATTACTAGGGTCCATTTCTTCCGGAAACTAGAGTGCAAAAAGAAAAAAAATAAAAATAAAAATTGTTGAAACTTATATTAGATAAATTAACTGTTTAAGTTTTTTTTAACAAATAAGACAATTATGTTATAAAAGAGAATATAATTTTTAAATATTTACTCAATTTTTTTTAATAAGTTCTATTAATCTATTTCCATATTTAAAAAAAAATGGTCGATAAATTTCTATTATTCAATATTTGACTCAGTAGTAAAGTTGATCCTGCTTATCATACTAGTATTTGTTTTCGTATATAAAAATATTTTTATCAACAATGTATTGTTTCTCGTATATAAATATTATTTTTGTTTTAATATTATTTTTATTTTGACAATATTTATAAAAATATTTGAATCAATAATAAAGTTGTTCCCGTTTATAACTACAGTATTTTCTCCCATATATATATAAATTTTATTTTTTCTGTTTCAAATAATTTCTACGATATGAGAAAATAAAATTTATTAAAATTTTATTGAAATAAAAATATTGAAATAAAGAAAAAACTTAATAATAATAATAATAATAATAATATTAACAAAAATAAAAATTAATTAATTAAAAATTTTCTTAGTGTTGTTTATGGAATAGAATCACCATCACGCTGTCTTTTTCAAATATAATCACTACAAGAAAATTGGCAAATTGCGACGGTTCATTTTGACATATTATGACGGTTTTAACCGTCGCAATTTGTAAGTTACGACGGTTTCAATCCCGTCGCAGAAATGTGCATCGCGAGGCCGTATTGCGACGGTTGTGAAACTAACTGTCGTAATCTCCATATTGTGACGGTTTTCAACCGTCGTAATTATATTTACTAATTCTAAATATTATTTATTTTCACTTCGGGTAGCTAACTGTTGTAATCTTCATATTGTGACGGTTTTCAACCGTTGTAATTATATTTACTAATTCTAAATATTATTTATGCTAGTTGCGACAGTTTAAACTGTCGTAATTTTATCTATAGAATTTTTTTTTATAATATTCTATTTTTATTTAAATTACTTTCATCTCATTTTTTTATAATAGTTTTTTTTAATTTAAACTATTATTGTTTTTTGGTAATATATCAAATATATAAAGACTCACGTATATCAAATATATAAAGACACACATATAACAAATATATAAATTTATATAACTTAAAAAACAATTGATATTTCATTATATCACTTTTCTAAATAACTTATTATATTTTCTACTAAATATATACTTACGAATATCTAAATGATCAAATGTCATAATCTATAACTTGATATATTTTGGAATCACTGCACACTGATGTAATGTCAATTAGATCGCTGCAAGAAAAAGGGGGGGGGGGGGGGGAGTGTTGACAAATTTTTAAGTACATCCCACTTATTTTGGAAGCAGATTTGTTGAAGCTCCATCCACCACCTTATAATCATTGATGCCTCTAACTTGTTGTGATGGGCTTGTCCCAAGGATATGTTGGATTCTAAAACCTTACTCAACATAACAGTTTGAGGATGATCTGCCACCCCCAATATCTGCTTCTTGGAGTATTCCAACATCATTTGCACCATCTCCGATTGCAAGAGTAGTACAATCTGTTTTAGTCTTTACTAATCTAGTAACATGCATTATTGTAATAGAAAGACTAAACATGTCCAAATCAGCATTATAGGAAGAAACAAGGGTACGCATATAAAGTCACAGAAATTATACAAGTGCTTTTTGCTTCGGAGAAGAACGATAGCATATAATAGACGCACAACTAACTGCAAGTGCAAGAAACAAGTCCTTTACATCATCTTCTAGTGCATATGTCAGAGACTTTCCATCAATTAACGCCTCGATGTTTTCAATTGATGCACCAAGTAATTCCTTTCCTTCCATTAATTGACAAACAACACTTTTCTTGATTGCCTGCAGAATCAATTAACTTTCATCACAATCACACATCCAATAGGCCAAAGCTCCATGGAAAACAATAATTATATTTACCACATCAGCATCAGACTTGTTTTCCATTTTCTCAAGTGATTTGGTTTCTCGAGTGTCTGAACTAATGATAATTTGTTTCATTTCTTGCCGAAGTAACCTACAAGCAAACCTATGGTGACACTGAAATCATCATACCGATGACTTCATATTACTATGATAGAATTTTCAAAACTGTTGATAAGTACGAACTCACCCAACAGTGATTGCTGTCTCCATTTTATTACCAGTCAAAACCCATAACTTTATTCCTGCCTCTGCTAGCTTATCAATACATTCAGGAACCTATATGTCAAAAAGCGATTACAAAGTTTTAAACGCACTTAGTTCAAACTTCAAAAAGCTAGCTCAGAACTGAGCATAGATAACTTTATCACTAGTTGTAACATACCCCATTTTGAAGTTTGTCTTCAACTGCGGTAGCACCCAGAAGAATTAAATCCTTTTCGATATTTTCTAATACGTCCTCCATAATCTGCTCTCGATCTGCACTTACTAAGCTCCTGGCTTCCATCAATTCTTTATTAAAAAGAGTGTACTCTTCTTCCTCAAGTTTGCGATAGGCCAATATCAAAGTCCTCAAACCAGCATCTGCATATTCCTTAATGTGCTGCTTAGTCTTTTTCTCAAACTCACTTCCATTCTTCGCAAGTCGTTCAAACATGACACTAATGTTGATAAACACAAAATAGAAACAGTTAAATATTATCAACTTTCAAATCAGTGTGATTTCTCAAGGATGCAGCTTGCTAGAATACACAATTGAACAAAACAAACAAGCACAATGAATCCTCAAAAATCACATAGTAATTAATCATAATGTACCTCAAATATGCAAAAGTCATCATAAAAGTGGCAACATACTTGTGAAACCAGTACAACTTTGGGAACCAAAAAAACTGCAATGTAAGGAGAAGGCTTTCGGAGGTAATAAGTATAGCTTCTAAGAAGCATAATTGCAATCAAACATAAACTCCAAAAGAAATACAATATTCACTAATTTAGAAAGAACAATGGTCACATAGACATGGATTGGTTTGAGGGAGGATTCCTCGATGTTTGATCACTTCTCTGTGTTGCAACGTATAATCAGTTAAACACTAATCAGTTTAAGCGAGGAGAATGGTATGATGCAACATAATTTAGTGAAGGAACAAAATCAATCTAATGAAGATGATTTACCAAACATAGAGAGTAATCTCATGAAGAACAACATAATAATGTGAATGCTTTATATGGTCTTGGTAAGCATGCAGAAGAATCATTGCAAATGTTAGACACAAAAGTTGGTGAGTCCAATAACGACAATAATATGCCATTGCAGAGTGCTTCCAGATTTTCTGAATGTCTAGAACAGAAGGGTGATTTCTCTGAGGATTTGGTTAATGCAATAAAAAGAATTGAATCTCAGAATTTGGCTTTTAAACTTTGCTCGAATTTGGGTGAATCCAGTAAGAGCAACAATGCAGTTCGCGATGTTTTGCACAAAGTAGCTAATTTGGAAAGTCCCAAAATACAAAGAAAAGACAGTGCTGCAAGAAGTCACTTTAATTGTAAAAAGTATCTCTTTGAAGGACATAGGCTAATGGATCAACACACTCGTGATTCAATTTCTAAAGGTGTAAACTTGATTTCAGAAAGTGCAGCTGAGGAACCCTTTTTAGATCGAAATGCATCATCGAGACAGAGTCAGGTGGCATATCAGAATTGTAGGCTTCATACAAATAATGCAGAGTCTACAAAGAGTGTTAACATACCAAAGCATATTAGTACACAGTTAGTATCGGGTGAAGAAGAATTGAGAAGTGGAACTAGAATTCAACCTTCAGTTCAAAACATGGACATGATAGAAAGAGTCAAGTCATTGAATAAGTTAGTAAGTGGTGCTAGAAAAAGTCAAGTCATTGAATAAGAGTCAATTACAAACCTCCATTTTTAGTAGTAACCATTGGCAAACCATAAGCAGCTTCCTGTTCAACAAAGACGCAAATTAGTGTTTATAACTTCAAAAATAAATCAACTAATAGTAATTAATTCAAGATTCAGAAGATCACCTCAATTAAGGTAAGACCAAATGGCTCAATGAAAGCAGGATTAATGAAGACACCCTGCACAGATATCAGATCTGAATGAAATGTAAAATGACAACATAGCTTGCATGGGTAAGAGAATTAAAGACATGAAGAAAGTAATATATATTGAACCCAACAAGTGGCGGCAGACCCACATTAGTTGCATCTTAGCATAATGAATACACGTGCGGTGCAGGATTTGTATTGGATTTAGAAACATAACTTACTATAAGAGAAATTGCAGACAATAAAGGCACAATATTTACACTGGAAGATTCCCAGTCTTTAAATCTATCCTATAATATAAGAGAAATTGTTAGATAAATTTCTAATACATAATTATAGATTACAAGGCCTCCTTTTGTAAAAACAGGGGCAGTTGACTGAAATCAATTGCAGACATAATGAACTTTGCTTAACAAAATAGATGCAAACATAATCAATGAAATGACAACATGGAACAAAGATCACTGGCTGCAACAACCTGCTCTGATGTTGCATGAGCCCCATAGTGTACTTCTTTACGTGACAATGCCTTCACTGCAGCAAAGAAAGATTGCACCTTGTCAACCACAAATGTGAGCTTAAATGTTAGATATAATCCTGTCATCAGTGATGAAAAGAGGCTTCCATATTATTTGTTCAGGAAGAAACGATACCAAACTGGTGTTGGCAATAAAGCTCGGTAAAGTAGGAGGAGGTATTCAACTAAAGTCAGCATTTTCCCCTGCTTACGATAATTGCGGCCTCTGTTATTCTTGTAATACATTAACAATATACACTTGAATATCATTGTAGCCTGGCAAGCCAAAGTATCATTCACCATGATGATGAAAATAACATGCCAGAAAGGTGGTATTTCTTTGGGAGGAAGCATGACTAACAGATACATTAGATCATCATTCTGATACCACCAATAAACACCAACCACATGAAGTGCAAACGCAACAAAAATTCCAATCAAAACAAGCATTTTCCTATCTCCCTTCAAAGCGGTTTGTTTTCCTTACTCATGGAATCCAATCTACTACATGAAGGTGAATTTTTTGTTGAATTTCTTGATAGAAATGTTGTAGTAGAATAAGAAGGTGAAGTAGAAGCAGAAGCAGAATCAGAACCAGAAGAACAAATGATTGTTATCTTTGATACGGGTCGACGAGACTTGACAATTAGCTCAAATCTGAGACACTCTTTAATTATGATCATTTGTGGTTCACTTATATCTCTATAGAAATGAATCACTTGTTTTATATCTTTACGACACTTTGTCTTCTCAAATCTCATCAAGAAATTACGAACCAAGAGTTTCAATTGTTTCATAGTACTTTTGCTCTGTTGCACCAAAGCTTCCACGACAATGTTGGTGAAAATATTGAATCAGAGTTTGACCTTCTCACTGTGGATGTTGTCGAGCTTGCTGCAATGATATATCCTTCCTAGTCACAAATGATGTTAAGCGGGGAGGAGAGCTTATGAGGTTATTCTATGTTGGTTTTCTGCATAATCAGGAGGTGTGGTCCAAAGAGATCAGCAATTCAGTTTGTTGGGTTGCAGGGCTCTTTCCCAGGCTGTCTGTGTGTTGCAGCAGTTGTCTGAACCAAAGTGGGTTGCAGGCTCTTCTTTGGCTGCATTGCTTCATTCCAGATTCTTGCCTGATGTTGGCATTTTTCCTCCGCTTGTCGTCTCCGAGGCAGCATAAACATCCTTTTACACAGAAGTAGTTATTTTCAAGATACTAACTTCCAACACCTACATTAGTTTTGGTGAAGATAAGATTGAGGACTTGAGTTCGCAGCTACCAACTCAGGCAGCAGAACAGTTCAAGGCTTCTAATTTGAGCTGTGTCGGAGCGAAGCCAGAATCCTTTCGTATTGCTCCGGAAGACGAATATGTAGACGAGACTGGTGTTAATCCTAAGGATATCGAGTTGGTGGTGACTCAAGCTGGTGTTCCAAGATCAAGACCTGTTAAAGCTCTCAAAGTTGCCAATGGAGACATTATAATGTTCAATAGCTATCTTATCTTCTCCAAGACTTCCAATTACCTAACATTTCTACTACTTCCTATTATTGTGAGAGTTAGTTTTTTTTTGGCACATATTATCAATTTCTTCATTCAATAAAAATAAAAAGACCAAACACATAGAGCCATATTTTCATCTTGTTAGAAAATATTTACTAACAAAAACTGTTTCACATCATACCTATCTCATCCTTTAAAGAATTAGCTAATGTATTCACCAATGTTATTTATCCCGCCCCCTTATAATATTGTATTTAAGCTTGGTGTACTTAGCATCTCTAACCCAATTTAAAGGGAGATTTTAGACTATATAAGGTCTTAGTCATAGTTGAGTTTTGGGGTATGAAAATTCATAGATAGCAAGTTAACTACTCAGCTAGTTTGTTATGATAAAATGAAGGGATTTAATTAGCTTGTTAAGTTACTTATATTCTTGTAAGTAACATAACCTTCATTTTATAAATCATGTAAATCAATGATAAATTCATAGAATATTTTTTTATTCTGTTATTGACTGTGGAGGAAAATTATCAAAGAAAAACTTAATAGAAACTCTAGAGGTTATTATATAGTTTTGCAAAAAAGAGCAAACTATGGTAATTGAATCTAAAATATATATTAGAAAAACTTAAATGTCTCAAATTTCAAAAACGTATCCACATATATCAAAGCAAGGAGTAGTGATAAGTCTTTATGAATTTATAGTATGAAAAATGATATAACTAGTTGTTGAGATGAGAGTTTGTTAAGATCTTATGAATGTTTGTTTTATTTTAAATTTGAGATAAATCTTGTTATGTTTTATTTTTATTCAATAGTCATGACAATACTAATAATGATACAATTTAAATTTAAATTTTATGTTACACTCTATAGCTATCTTTTAATTATTGAAAAATGATGGAAACTTGAATTAAGTAACGAGAATGTTGTTGTTGATGTTGATGTTGTTGATGAAAATATGAATTAATTTTGTATGTTAATTTGTTATAGGGGTTACTTGTGAAGAGTAAGATTGTGATCGTTTCCCAGAATCTTACTGTGCAGTTCTATAAGTTGCTGACTTCTCTATAGTTGCTACAGGTAATCACTGTTATTGTTTAACTTACTTAGTTTAGTTTAGCCTACTTAATTAGTATGGATACAAAATGGATGTATTACAATCGATTGTCAAAAGAGTACGAAAATGGGGTATCAAAATCCGTTAAGTATGCTATTGAACATGCCAAAGACCCCAGTAGGATCACATGTCCTTGCTTAGGTTGCTGTTATGGGTGTCAGATTGACGCAGTTCAGTTGGAATCGCATTTAAAGAGACATGAAATTGATCGAAGTTATACATGTTAGATATTACATGGTGAGATAAGTAACGAGAATGTTGAACCAGAGGATAATACGACCTATGCTTCAAACGACAATGGCACAAATACATACAACTATGATCGAGTCGAAGAGATTGCAGAAGCACTTGAAGAAGATCTTTAGGATTTTCCCAAAATGTTTGAGAGGTTGGTAAGCGATGCAGAGAAACCGTTGTATAAAGGTTGCACTACTTTCACAAGATTGTCTG